TACATTAAAATCTCATTAAATCTCGTTTAAACTGAGAAGGTATAATTGAAAGTCTCATGTCAACTTTAAAAGAAAATATACATATTACACATAATAAAAAAAAACTTTCATTTCTTTTGAAGTATCCTATTTTGCCCACTGATAAAATACCTGAACGTAATTACTCGATTCCCCCTATTACTAAGTGGGCTTTAAAGATCCATAACTTATAATTTAAACGATAACAAAGATATGATTATTTTATTTATAATTAGAGTCGATGATAAATCTTAGGTATATGACCTTTATCTGAGTGTCAACATAATCTTATAGCTTGTCGCTATTCAAGAGCATATTAGTTAATTAATGTTTTTAACAACTTATCAGGAAAACATTTGCATATTAAAATATTAGCAAATACGATACGATATTTTTTTCTTCATTTAAAGCGGTGTAATATCCAACAAACAGTTGAATTAAAAAGCTCGCTTTATATGTAAAGTTATTCTGTTTATTTATATTATTCTTAGACGCGTTTTTAATTTCGCTTGAGTTGTAGCAGTAACAGTAGTAACCATAAAATTCAAATTAATGACTAAAAATATTAAGTTGATATACCTATACATAATTTAAATTAACGTATTTATTTTCTAAGCGCTTTATTTTTGCTCACGTAAAATGTTCGGAAAAAATTAGGTGTGTTAAAAATAACAGTAAAGTTTTTTTAGGGAAAGCATTTTTAAAATATGTTAGGGATTTCCAAATACATAGATACTACAGATGATTTTTTGTTTGTTTGTGCGTACAAACACAAAAAGCTCACTTTCTAACAACATAAAATTCAAATTATACCATACATTTAAAATATGGGAACTTACCAGCTGTATGCCAAGTGGTTCCACTTGTCAATTTATTCCTTTCTAATAAAACTGCATTTACCCCCCTTTTCGAGAGCTGATATAGTGTATTACATCCTGCGATACCACCACCTATAAAAATAAGCCTCATTTTAATATGATCCGCCAATAAGCGAGATCAATAAGAGAAAGGCGTATGACGTTAAAAAGGCTGAATGAGAATAATATCATAAAGGCTTTGTTTTGTATTAATTAGAATTATATATAATACAGTATTTTTTGTGTTAAAAGACAGTTGTAGCTCAGTGGTAACGCGCTCGCTAGGGAAACTGAGTGAAGCGGGTTCAAATCCCGGGTCTCTCGCACCTCTGATGTTTTCATGTGCGAATCATTTCTAGCATAATTACCACTTGCCTTACGGTGAAGGAAAACATCATGAGGAAACCTGCATGTCTGAGAGAACTAAGCAAGTTTTCGAAAGACATGTGAAGTTCACCAATCCGTACTTGGCCAGCGTGGTAGACTATGGTCTGATCCCTTTGTATTGAAGGGAGGCCCGTGCCCAGCAGTGGGACGTTAAAAAGGGCTGAATACAATACAGTATTTTTAATATACATCATAATTAGTACAAAAAATAGTTTATCCAATCACTTACCAACAATCACAATATCAGCTGATGTTACCAGTTCATTGTTCGTAGCATAACATCGTTTTCCATTTTTTAAATTTTTCAAAAAATTTGTTGCTTTCGATCTAACACATCGATCTGTTATGACTTTAAACATATTAAAGAAATTTTTAATATTGTCTGTAGACACTGATGTAAGTTCTTCAGCAGCACGGAGACAAATAATAGTGTAAGAAAATCAAGAAAAAACATTGATAAGCCTATCTTGCCTACTTTATCATTTAGATGTCAAAGGTTAATTAAATGCGTATTCGTATGTTAGATATGATATTATCAAATATTGTTATAGCAAACAGAGTAAATGATTATAAAGGTTACATATAATTCAACGCTTTGCAAAATGTATTACTTCGCCTATATTGGCCGCAAGAAAGAGACACGATAGAGTTAATTCCTGTTTTCCAATTACAGAGCATAATGCCGCACTTTGGCGCACAAACACGAACAACGCGAAAAAACACTTCTTATATTTTTTATTACCGAGTTGGAATCTCTCTCATTGTTAAGTATACTTTTGCAAAATGTATTACTTCGCCTATATTGGCCGCAAGAAAGAGACACGATAGAGTTAATTCCTGTTTTCCAATTACAGAGCATAATGCCGCACTTTGGCGCACAAACACGAACAACGCGAGAAAACACTTCTTATATTTTTTATTACCGAGTTGGAATCTCTCTCATTGTTAAGTATACTTCCAAAATATTTAAAGTTTTTACCTACATATTTATTGCAACGTCAAGCCAAGCCAATTCATCTAGTGGTTTAAATGTTTAAAAAAATATTAAAAAAGTGTATTTAATTAGTATCAATTTCTTACATTAAGAATAAAAAATAGAAACTTTATGGGGCATACGTAACTTGATTTAATGTTACGAGGGACTTTTGAAATGATAGAAAAGTTTCTATACATTCTGATATAACTACTAGAACTTTCCTTGAAAAAGAGCTAAATCGTTTTATTCATATTCTAGATACAAAACTAATTGGCACTTCGATAAAAATAACATGAACTTTATACATCGCATACAACTATAGATACTATACATTGCTTATAAAATTTTAATTTTAATTTGGTACCAAAGATTTTAAAGGTGTACAGCCTTCTTTATCAACATCATATGAGTTTACATTGATATCATTCTAATGTTTATAATTTACATATCTATACATATAATAAAATTGTAACTATGCCGAATTTGTACATTAAATATTTTTTGGAAAATCTTATTGAAATAAACATTATTATCGATACAGAGGCCGAATCTATAGTTTTTAGAAATTTTGTTTGTCTATCTGTTACCGCATCACAGAAAAACCACTGGAGGGATTTTGATGAAATTTGGTATGGTGATAGCTGGTTATCCGGGTCAACATATAGGATACTTTTTACCGCGGGTAAATATCTCATTTCTGATAAAAAATACAAAAACTGCAATGTAAGGGTATATGTAACCTAAGAATTTGGTTTTCGGTCATCTGAACGCGGGCGGAGCCGCGGGCAATGCTAGTTTACATATAAAAATAACTATGACTTTTTTATAAATTACACTTCAATGTAATATAACAAATGTAAAGGCGCTCATACACGTTAGAGTATTTCCGGCATATTACCTGTACAGTTAAACTGAAGCAAGAAGAAACTGAAGATTTATTCAATTAAAACTGTACAGGTAAAATTATGTTGATATATCCCCGCGAGTATGGCCTTCTATAATCAAACCCACTTTGTCAATTACAAAATTCAATTACATAAAGTTTTAAAAATTTAGTTTAGTACAATTATCTATATAATTATAAAACAAAATCGGGTTTGTTACAGCACTTATAACTAGAGAACGGCTGGACCGATTTATATGATCTCTGTTTTGTTGAATTTGTCTTCACAGTTCACTCTGAACAGCAGAATAACTTTTAACACATCGAAAAAATTCACGTTTTTTGTTAAATATCTATTCCATACTAAGCGTTAAAATGTGCCTAGGGACGAACCTGAGCGAAGCGAGGGCGAGTCGCTAGTTAAATATTAAAACAAGTCACGAGATAATCGTTTAATTTTATATTTACAATAACACATAATACAATTACAGTTGAACTGATATTCACTTACATAAACGATAAAGGGCAATATTCTTGAACAAAAAAAACAGATGTTACATGTTTTTTTTACAAAAATATTTTTTCCATTTTACATTACAAATTATTATCAATAGGAATAAAATAAAAAGGAATTAAATATCTAATACTTGTATTAATAAACCAGTACTGTTATCTACAAGCAAAAATTGTATAGATTTTATGTGAAATCTCTAGCTGGTAAGGAGATCTGCTGTTGCAAAGTGAGAAAGTAATTTAAATGACTATTTAATATATGTATATATCAATAAATAACTATAAAATATTATTGTATTAGCATCGAAGACTTTAAAAATTAGGTACACAATTCAAAGAAAATTGTTAGGGAATGTACAAAAACTGTATATTTATTAGTTTTCGTAATATTAAATTCTAGAGTACAAAAGGAAGAACTATTTGGCAAACAATCGTACATGTACTGAAGTATAAGCATCTTATAAACTAACGTAATTTAATATAACATTAATATAAAGAATTATAATTATAGGCAGTATTCCTCAGCTTTCTATTGTGAAGCAGAAGCAACGGTTATCTATCTGTAAAAAATATATAAAGTTATATTTAAAAAAAATCGCGATTTATTAATTTACTCCACTTAGAATATTTTTTTAAACATTCAAAATAATAAATCTTTTTGGGATCTATTTTTTATCTTTTGTTTAAAGACAACGTTAATAACATAAAATATCAATAGATGGCATACATGTAACGTCATCTACTGATATTTATTTGAACAAATTTTTCTTTGTTCGTGATGAGACCCTATGGTATTACTGAACTGTAGTAGCAAATATTTACTCGACTCGGCATTGAATGCGTCACCTGCAGTTGTAAATGGAACAGTACGGTGGTCGTAATGCTATTCCTAATTAAAAAGTAACAAAACATTTCTAATCAATTGAAAGGTCAATAGAAGTCGAATACTTTATTTACACTTCTTAGAACCTCTACATGTTTAATTTCTGGTTAGCATATTATTTTTAACTTATGAGCTCCTGGTACTTCCCCCCAGACATAGTTCATAATTGATGAAAACTGGCAGGTGGAATTGAAAGTAAGGCCTTATTTTACTTTTATTTTAATAAACTGTTTGAAAAGTGATTGAGGAAGTAAAGTTTGACTTTCGCTAATCACTAAGACATGATGACACCCGAATAAGCTTAAATTCTTACAGTAACATATGCACTAGTCGCAAAGTCGCAACATGCTACGTGACAACCGGCTTATTATCCGGCCGCCGCATATCCGGCCTTGAAGACCACCGGACACCCGGCATCCGGTATCCGAACAAACAACTATCCGTTTCGTCACTAGTTCATACCTGATATCTTCCTACGGTTCACACATGGTGCGGGCTGGCGACCCGGGGCGGAGTGAGGCCAAGGCGGTGCTGGCGCGCCGCGTGGTCACCCGCCGCGGCGGCCGCCGCCGCCTCCAGTTGCACCCGCAGAGCCACCAGCTCTCGCGTGCGTTGGTATATCGGGTCCTGGAATTGGTTTACACGTGACTCGACCTCGATGAAAAATTAGGTCAATTGGGACAATCAATATTACAACAAAATGTAAATGTGAAAGATCTTCTGCGATTACTTAGAAAATATCGATACACAAGGGTTTTAACATGAAGAAAATGTTTATGGTATCCATTTTGAAGTATAGTCTCTTTGAATTATATTTATTATAATTAAGGCATAATCAGTCATTTATTTTTATTATCTACTCACACTCGCTTCGCTCGGGTTCGTCCCTAGTGAAAATCGAAAACCAATCTATCCCACGAGAACCGTACATTTTTTCGAGATAAAAAGATACCTCTGTGCTATTCTAGACTATAATCTATCTCTGTGCCAAATTTCATCTAGATTCATTCAGTCGTTCTGGAGTTATTGAGTGACAAACATCCATCTAAACTTTCGCATTTATAACATTTATGGGATATATATTGTGGTAGTTGAAGACTAAACAAAAACAAAGAATTCTTACCTGTTGCCTCATGGTGGGGTTCCATCTACAGTACAAAGCTTTCCACAGTTTAATAATCCTTAACGAAGCAACTGGGACTAGCACCATTTGGGGTCTCGAGTTCGGTGAAGGAGGCGAGTTTGGACTGAACGAAGAAGGTCCCCAATATAGAGGATTCAGATATAGATTTTGTCGGCTGTTAATGTATGACCATAGTGATACTGTTTTGGCTTTTACTTCTGTAAAGGATATAAAATTTAATATATAAAAAACAAATTAAGAAATAGTATATAATCTGTGTAACGGTAGCGAGAGACCGACCGTCTGCGTCATATGTGACTCGAGAATTAAGACGGGACGCGTTATGGTGCGATTAACTTAAGTTGTGAATATTATCTTATATTATATGTCTTTAATAGATAGTATTATATTAAGCATCAGTGATTTCAGTTTATTACTAAGTAGTGTATGTATTGATGTTCATTTTGGATTTATAATATTAGATACAGGCAGCGCCACCTTTTGACAAATATTACAAATAGTAGCTTATAATAATTTCTTAGATTTACGCGAATGTTTGACATTATTAAATAAAACTATCTTTTCGGATTATTTCGCGGATTTATTTTGATTTTTGGTTCCCGACGTTTCGAATGCTTTACAGCATCCATGTTCACGAGAGAGACTGAGGTGTTACATGTCTTGAATGTATAGTTGTTACAGACAGCCTACCCACAATTAACATAAAAACTTTTTAACAAAAAAATAACAACCGACTTCAAACAAAAGCACTAAAAAGTAACAAATAACTGATTGGTAGTTTTCATTTACTATACATAAATCAAATATTTTCATATTTGATTATATGTATTTAATAGGTAGGCTTTAATTACTTAGCCAAATGAAAAATGTTTAAAGTTAAAAAAATATTGTAATGTAATTGGTGCATTTTTCATTTTGTTAATTGTGGGTAGGCTGTCTGTAACAACTATACCTTCAAGACATGTAACACCTCAGTCTCTCCCGTGACCATGGATGCTGTAAAGCATTTGAAACGTCGGGAACCAAAAATCAAAATAAATCCGCGAAATAATCCGAAAAGACAGTTTTATTTAATAGTAGCTTATACATTACGCCAGATGGATGGTACTGATATCGGGAGAAAGACTGTAGTATAGGATAATTTTATGTAAGTAAATCAAAGTCATTATCATATCATTGTAGAAAATTGTAAGTTACGGAGCGAAATAATTTTATAATTGGACTACTTTTTTAGATTTTTTTGCAAATTTATTTTGAAACTTTACAGGAATCCTGGTCACGAGCGGGAGTCTCTTCAAGAGGTACGGAGGAGATAGTTTTATTTGAAATATCAAATATTCCCGTAAACCTAAGGAAGTATTATTAATAATTTATTAGTAAATACCATTAGTAGCAAAAAAAAACATTCTCACCTTCCTTAACCCTCTCACGCTCAGTATTAAAGAGGAAAGTCCCAAAACGGCACGAGTATAGATGATCTACAATTGTGATGAGCAGCCGCTCAGTGAACTCAAAGGCGGTGGGGAACTGTTGCTGCAGTTGCCACACGCAGTCTACCCATTGGACGAATACTGGCGACCTGTCCGCGTCTGAGTGACGCTCGTCTCCATGGCCGATACGCTGAAATTTATAAATGTTCTTAATCTCTATATACCTGCTAGACTTGTAGTTTCAAAATGTCTATACAATAATAAACGTAAATTAAAGCGATTGTATAGTGCATAATGCATATCTAGGGAAGCGCTGTACTGATTTGAATTAAAATTTATCTGGTCGATTTGACGTAATCGTAAGTAAGATATAAATTACCCAAATTATTTTTTACCACGGAAAAATAGGATTCTCGCGCCTAAAAGACGACATCTTGTTTGTAACCATCAACAGCACAGTAAAGATTTTTCGTCCTAAAAATTTATCTAAGAATCTAAGCCAAGTACTTGCCGTGCAGTTATTGACACTTCTGTCTACTAACCCTTACAAACATTTAACAAAGACGTCCAGATAGAATCGAAATAGTCGTGCGGGGGGGTTAATATGTTTGCTTACCAATTGGAACTTATGTCCGAAGGAGAGCCACTCCTTCTCTATGAGAACTTGGAAACCCCTCAATGTACGATAGTAAGGGTCCAACATGAGCATGGCCAGGGCAGTCAACTGAGCCGTCCTGTCCCAGCCATCAGAACAGTGAACTAGCACAGAGGTTTTATGGTTCTCTACCTGTAGTGAAAAAGGCACAATATTTTAAGAGATTTTCCTTGGTTTGTAAATGAAAATATTGAATATACATATATGATAAACTAATGAATATGGCATAAATAAATTCCAATACATATACATATAAATTTTAGGTATATCTATATGTACGTACATATATCTTTATGTATAAATAAAAATTAAATAAAAACCTATTTTATTCTGACGTGAACAATTGACGTATGAAAATATCTAAGAAATTTACATTGTTTCAATCAACATGAAATACCAAAACCGCAATAACACGCAGTCATTAGTTAGAATACAAACAATGATATCACGTTTATGGTATATTTTTACTTTACCTTATCAACAATGCGCACCGCGCCCGCTAGTATACATTTAATATGCTTGAGCCAACAACTTGCTTCAATGCCACTAAACCATCTGTAAATAAATAAATTAGTATCAAAATTATGAATTATTATTTATTGAATATGTAACTTATTACTTGCATTAGGGGATAAATATGAAATCGTAACCTATTGTATCCTACAGACTATTAATTATCTCTGTGCAAACTTTCATGATCAGAGATTAACTAGCAAGTTTTCGAAAGACATGTGAAATCCGCCAGCCAGCACTTGGGCAGTGTGGTGAACTATGGCCATGTATGGCTCGTATTGAAGGAAGGCCCGTGTCCAGCACATTCAAAAGGGCTGAATATAAAACCATCGGATCCTGAGGTCATGAGTTCGAGTCCCGCGGCGGGCCAAGTATAATCATTGGTGTATTCTTTCAAAAAATTACCAGTAACCATTTCTAAATAATAAAAATGATGCGTGTTTTTTCTGGAAGTATTTTTTAATTTTTTAGCCTATTTATTGAGGAAGGTACATCACTCTATGACCCTTACACACAAAGCAATTAGCCATAGAAAGTGTAGATAAGAAGGTATGCTAAGCGAGAAAGAAATATAACTGCAGGACCACTTATTGTTAGTGCATAATATTCTTCCTCTCGAATTGTGCATTGACATATATATATATATATATATATATATATTAACACCTCCAGGTAAATTTCTAAGAAATTAATTAAAATTCTAAGAAATCTATTGTTAATCGACACGCCGGAGTGTCCCGCGGTCGTGGAGGGATTAAAATACACAGATAATTAACGAGGAAACTAAACAATAAAGGCTGACTTAAGTCAGATTATTTTATTCACGATTCTCATTTGCTAGTTCTATAATTTCCAAATTTTCATTTATAAATTTTAATTTAAATATTATATACCTAATACATTATTTATAAATATTATAAAATAGGTTTTGAAGAAGCATTCACTTATCTTGAACCATTGCATTTCCTAATATTAAAATGATTTTAATAATACATAATTACATTAATTAGTTAAAAATATTTTTTAATATATGTACCTGGTCTGGTCAATTTGGGGGAAACAAAGCTCCTTTAATTTTCTTAAGCTCTCTCTCATCACGTGAATGTTGTGTATATCGAGGAAGACGAGTTCCGCATTTTGGTATGCATCCTCTGACTCATATCTAAAAATAACAAGTTCAAATAACTCACTTATTCAGTCATAGACATTAAAGTGCAATATGTTAGGTATTAAATACTTCATGTATGGTAAAATTAATCAGACTTAAATAATCCAGTCTCACATTTCGATTACAATTAGGTTTTTGAAAAATTTACAAAATCTTTTAAAACTTACGATATCGTGTTTTAAAAAGAAGGCACACTGACTTCAAAGTCAAATAAAATTAATTATTCCACCTTTGAGAGTTCTTTTTAAATTTACATGTTTTTTTTATTATTAATTGTGGGAGAATTATGTTTCCATATATTATTATTCACCGATGTACAATTGTCGAAGGCATTGAGTAACATACTAACAAAAAATACATAAGAAATCAGTACCTCCTTCTTTTTAAAGCTGCTCAAAAAGTTTAGAAACATGCTTAAATATTTATTTTATGATTTAGAAAATCTTCTTTTAGTGATTTTTTAATCCATATGAATAATATAGGTGTGGCCCAGTCTGTTTATCAATAAAAGTTATCAATAAACTACGTAACAACCACCATGGTCATAGCTTATCTTTTATCCTTTTTTAAAAAACTAGTCTATCTTAATAAAAAGGAAATTCTTTTCGTTGGTATCACTTGAAAACAGCTGGACCAAATTAGTAAATCTATTTTTGAACATATAAATAGGCTAAATAAGGTTTGAGTAAAAAAATGTAAGTTGAAAACTTTGGGAAAAGTTGTGTTTTTTCTACAGGATTTAGGGAGAAAAAATATTTTTCTTAAAATCCTTTACCAAAATATATGAATAAGAGGAGGAAAGTATAGTAACTATTACATACCCGCCACCCTTGGCCTTATTAGCTATAGCATTGGCACTGGGCCTGGCATCCATTATAAACAGCTTATGCGCTTGAGCATTGGCATCCATTATTAATTGGATATATCTCTCGTCTTCACGACTGCGTTTACCACTGACCTGTAACAAATAACAATACATATATAATGCACCTAATATGAGAATCAAAATTGCGACCTTGGACCCAATGGGATTTTCTCAAAGTGAATGTGAACATGCATCAGGATAAACTAATTTTAATAAAATCATTTTATGCATTCATATTTAAACACTTTATATATAAAATTATAAAACAATAAGAACCTCTAATGTTTGAAAGAGATAAACCTATAGGCTACTTTTATCTACCATGTGAGAGGAGTTATAGTATAAAAAAATAAATTTTTTGTGCTCCATGTCCTACAACATCAATATTTTCACTGAGTTGTCACCATTTTCACTAATAAATATATGCATGTAATGTATATAAAAAAATGAATTAAACTCAAATTAAATTTGACATTAACAAAAATTAAAAAGAGAAGATGTTTTTATACATATCTTACCCCAACCAAGGGCTGGCTGCATCGTGTAATAGTCGCTTGAGAGCTTGGATGTATCCAAGCAAGCACTGGTATGCGTCCTCTAGAACGAAATGCAGCAACTGATCGTAAGAGATCATCATTAGCTGCAGTAGGTACTGCCCATACCGAGGGATAACTGTCGCATATCTCATACTTGTCATTTATTCGTGTTATGCGCCACATATCATTGTTGACTCCCTAGAAATTACAGTTTAATTAAGTCATTTTACTAAGTAATATGTACAGTAGTAATAGAATCTAAAACAACAAGTTAAAAATATTTACAGAAACAAAGAATATTTATGATTGAAATAATAATAATAAAAAAATATAGGCATAATTCAAATAGAAGTTAAAAAAAAAAAAATATATATTGCTTACCATTCTCCTCAGTTCCGCAATAGGCTCATACACATTCCATCCATCATCTGGAAAACTCTCTGAATAGCTAAATGCAAATAATGGCTGTCTATGTGATAGTGGAAATGCTAGCTGTTGCAATTTCTCAAATATACCTCTTCTAGAATGATTCTCTTGTTTGTGAGCAAAACGTAAGTTTCTCATATCCTAAAATATAATTTAACATTCTTTTTTTAACTTACTTTTTAGTGTATTAAATTTTGCCCGGAATATAGTATGTAAAACAATATTACCTTAGAATATGGTAGTTGATGAAATATTATATTTGGTGTTATTATATGATTGGAGAATTATGTATATTTTTCAAATAAAAAATATTATTGTGTCCTTAACTTATTTGCAATCTTAATTTTAAACATACCTTACAAAACACTTCAATGCCATATGAATTTTCTCCTTTAGAGGAAGCTCCGCCAACTTTTTCAATACGAGAGACCTATATAGAATTTGAGCAATTAGATAAAAGTTTATTATATTGGTCTATTGTTAATTCTGTGAAAATGTTTAAGATACTTTTTATTATCTTTCAATAGTAAAAAGTATCAAGCCCAAAAAACTAGTAATACTTACTACTCCAAGAGGCACAGAGAGTATAGTCTGAAGGGAAGTTGCTTCTGTGGGACGGAAATGTAGTTGATAGTTTGTTACTTTCAGCACTCCTCTAGATGGCCCACTATATGGGCATAGGTAAGTAACATCTCGAGCTACACCCATCACTTTTTCCCCATCCAACAACTGTATATCTCCCAAAACATGACTCTAGAACGATTAAGAATATTTTTTAGATTTTGAGTATAAATTGTATATGTGACACAAGCAAGCAAAATGTAATACAAGCCTTAGAAAATTCAATTTGCTCTTTATGGCTAAGAATACGATTTATAAAAAGACAAATATGAATCGTGTGACTTCTACTCATTATAACACTTTAAATTATAATTAAATAATATCAGAATAGTTTCTACTGTACTAGCAAAAGACTAATCACTTTAATTTTGAAGCAGGAAGTGACATTGCAAGTTGCAACGGTTATAAAATTCAATAAGCATAAATTAATCCCTTTAGGAAACTTACGGAATCTTGTCCGTGTTTCGAATTCAATGAACTTGATTTAGAGTCTGAATCCAATGAATCGGAACTAGCATTTTTGGATAGTGAAAAATCTGAGTTTAACAATTCAGAACTATTATGTTTATCCATAGTAAGACCTAAAATTTTTGCTTATATATTATATACAAATAATTGGAAATATTTATGTTTATTTAAGTAAATAATATAAACAAAATTTTGTCAATGACATGACTACATTAGGGCGATACAAATTTTCAGTCACAGACATGAGAAAAGTTTCTCAGTTGACAATTGATTTTAGGTGTTGCTAGCTCTACATATAAATAATTAATTCATTAATAGAAATATTTGTTTAAATCATAGTGTAAATATAGCTTTAAACTCATAATTAAGAACCATATACTATAATAAAAGATTGGTTTTTATTGATGTTTATTATTATTTTATAGATATTAATTTTGCTATCTTAGAAATACTAAACTAAAATAGCATTTCTAAGATATACAAATCACAATTAAGCATTAGTTACTTTTAATTTCGCCTGATTACATTAAAACAAATCTGTATTTTACGTAATTATTCATTATTGGTATATATAAATGAAATGAGACAATTATGACGATCTTCACTATGTTTTAAATTCAAATATTGATGTGGTATCATCAATAACGATTTAACATAATAATTATTATGTGCTCCCATAGTTATTAATGATAGCTACAATCTACTTATTATGTTTAGTTTATTATTATTATATTAAATTTTAACAATGAATTTTTCAGTTACTGTTAGTAAAAATACGTATTTTGCTTACAAAAGCACGAAAGAAATTGAACAAAACAGAAAAATTAAAGCTGAAAACTTTAAATGGAATTTCAATCATCCTAAATCTCTTGTAGAAATATGTATAGAGAAATTAAGCATTAACTGGACGGGTTTGTACATAATGTAGTAATTATTAGAAATTGACGATTAAAATGTTTATTATACTTTCATACAATAATTTTGATTAGGATCACCAAAGCTAGAAGAATTTATTGCTAAGGACAGGGAATTCTTTTTGCAAATTTTAAAAGCAGATGTCCCACTGCAAATATTAGTGGATAATATAAAAAACGATAGCTTTTGGAAAAGATACTATTTTTCAAAATGGACTGAATATCCTATGCAAGAAAATATAAAACCATGGATAAATATTTTTATGGAGCGTTATTATGCTGATGTACTAGAAAATATGAACCCAAAGCAATACGATCCTGAAAAGGTATATCTTTTTAAATTAGTAAATTTTACTATAGGTACCTACTGTTATCATGGTATGGTACATAAAATAAAAATGTAATGAAATTATATGAAAAAAAAACTATATGATGTTCTTAAACTATAGGATGTTAGTTGAACTTTAATTACAGGTAAAGAATTTGGTAAAGCTTTGTGGTCCTTATATACAATCTTTATCATTAAGAAGTTTAGTGCCAGCAGATATACCAGAACAACGAAATATTTCACCAGATATGGCAGGATTAATATCTGGCCAAAGGGAAAACATAAATAAGCTGTTAACTAAAAACAGTGATATGTTGACTCGAGGTGATTCATATATTCAAATAAAAAGTCAATTAATGATTCTGAACATGTTATTTTTCTAAATTTTATTTCAGATCATATATCTTTACATGCAGCATTGGGTAGTTTAACAAATTTATCAGAATTGCATATTACATATCAATTAAAATATGTTGGGGTAAATTATTGTAGAAACCAATTTCAATTTACTAATAATGATGCCAAAAATTTAGCACATGGACTACAAAAGTGTCTTCAGTTACGTATACTACGGTAGGTTATTTGAATTATCACTATTTAAAAAAAAAACGTTTATGATAAATAATAAACTTAATTTTTCCTTATTAGAATTACTCGAAGTGATATGAATTGTCAAAAGGTAAAATATATTCTTCGTGGATTATTGGATAACCAAATAATTGAGGTAATAGACTTCAGCCATTGTAAAATTGGTGATGATGGTGCGTCCTCTGTAGCAAAGTTTATATCGAAACGGGACAGGATTCGAACTCTCATTTTAGCAGATAATTTATTTGGTAAAAAACTTTATCTGTACATATAATAAAATTGTAACTAAGCCGAATCTGTACATTAAATATCATCTCCAGGTAAATTTCTAAGAAATAAATTAAATTTCTAAGAAATCTATTGTTAACTGTAACGCCGGCGTGTCCGCGGTCGTTGAGGAACTAATTTTTGAAAAATCTAATTGAAATTGTCATTATAATCGATACAGAGGTCGAATCTATAGTTTTTATAATTTTTATTCTGTCTGTCTGTTACCGCATCACAGAAAAACCACTGGAGGGATTTTAATGAAATTTGGTATGGTAATAGCTGGTTATGCGGGTCAACAAATAGGATACTTTTTACCGCGGGAAAGTATCTCATTTTTGAGAAAAAATACAAAAACTGCAATGTAAGAGTATACTAATATATAAAACATAAGAATTTGGTTTTTGGTCATCTGAACGCGGGCGGAGCCGCGGGCAATGCGAGTACGAAATATTATTTACATGTAATACTTTATGCTTTACACGAAACAATTGATATTTATTAAGCTTTTTATTTGGTTTTCCATATAATACACTCAGCGGCCCAATTTATCGCCTACCCTTTTAAAGCGGCCTATCTGTCACTTTTTTCATTTTTGAAATATCAAACGTATGTTTACGATTAAAAAGATACTTGCACCATGAAAAAAATGTTAACAACCCTCTTCAAATTTTAAACAGATAAGGATCAATTTAAAACATGGATGTATTCACTCTATGTGCTATTCTGCATTATTCATTAATAAATTTGCTCTCAAAGTCAACATCACATCAACTAATCATGTGATTAATATGACATTCTCATGTGCAAATCATTTCCAACATGATTACCACTTGTCTTACTGAAAAGGAAAACATCTAAGAAAACCTTCATGTCTGAGAGAACCGAGCAAGTTTTTGAAATACATATGCTGTCCACTAACACACACTTGGCTAGCGTGGTGGACTATGGCCCGATCCTCCTCGTATTGAAGGGAGGCTCGTGCTCAGCAGTGGGACGTAAAAAAGGGCTGAAAATACACTAAAAATCGTATGCAAAATGCATTTTTTGAAATTTTCCACAAAATTAAAGTGGGCGGTTCATTATGCTGCTTAGTGTATAAGACATCAAAAGAATATTTCACAAAATGTTTGCCTCTTTTTTCTTTGATCAGGCTAATTTTCGAAAAAACTTCTTGGTAATTAGTTTATTATAACTCTATTGTAACTGTATGGGTATGAATGAATAACTCTTTATTTTACGCCCAAAAAGAGAAAAGAAAATATCAAAATATAGAAGAGGTACAAGAGGCGGCCTTATCGCTAAAAGAGAGTATATAACTTGCCAAAAAATGTATATGTTGCAGTCAGAACTTTTTTAGTCAAATGTACTTTGACTGTAACATATACATTTAGTTTTTTTTTCGTAAAAAAATGGTTTTAAATCTATTATTTATCAAATTGTAATGTAAAATACAAATACTCTACTAAAAAAATATATAGGTCCTGTGGGAATAGAAAACATATCGCATGTGCTGAATCATACAAGTTGTGGATTGCGAACTTTGGATCTTAGACTTAATAACAGACTAGGTTCGGAAGGAGTCGCTCATTTAGCTGTTGCCATTGCAAGAGGTTGTAATTTAACATCGTAAGTTTAAGAAAGATAATAATTGTTCCTACAGGCTTTAAATATTATCAATTTTTGTCCTTTCAGTACATTTATTCTAATTTTATTTTTAGTTTAAATATTTCCGGCTGTGGAATAAGATCAGAACCCTTACAAAAGCCTCCAGCAGGAGTATGGTCAGCTATGAATGCTGACAATCCACCTACATGTGGAGATCTTTTAGCTAGAGCTATAGGATTAGTGAAGACTCCTTTGCGACATCTTGACATAAGTGTTAACGACATTGGAACGGTAAATTTTCTATATAAAATTAGTCGTAAGCTCGTAAGAATTATTTAATATGTCGGACGTAAAATCGAAAAATTAGCACGAGTGTAACGATGAGTTCATAGTTAGTGTTTAACAAAAATGTATATTTTCTGTGTATAGAGATCTACATTAATATTTTTTGTAGCCTAGCGATCTTACTCTATCTAATGCAATTTGCCTTAGCTATTTAGTAGACGTAAATCTTAAAAGATCAGGAATGGGATCAATGGCTATGGCAATTGCGGAATCAGCTGCTGCTGCTCAAAAATTAAGAAGAGAAGCTGAAAAAGGTATAAAATTCAGAAGAAGTGCTGGCAGAGTTGTTCAAGCACGTAGAGTGGTAAAAGGAATGAATATTGGTAAGAAAGGTTATTTTAGACGTTTCTATCTAACTATTTATTAATATATTAGGAAAGTAATTGCAATATTTAATTAATAAAATTAATTACGTTAAAATAGATGCTGATCCTTTATTATTCGCTCAACAATTATCTGCTCGTCCATCTATCGTATCCGTCGCCTCAGAAGAAGGAACTTTTAATATTCAAGCACAACCTTTACCAGTAGATTTTGGTTTCGTTCCTAGTCTTAAAGTAAGTGAAATGAAATTGATATAAAATTATATTAACATATTTGTATGTAATAATTGACTAGATAGATTAAAACTAAGTAGCCACAAAAACCCTCGAACCCTACTACGGAGATTTTAATATCTATTTTTCTATAAAAAATATATTTAATGCATAGTAATTTTAATCAGATATCTATACCTCCTAATATTATAAAAGGGGAGGGTTTGTTTGTTTGTTTGTTTGCAAGCGCTCATCTCAGGAACTACTATTCAGTGGCGTAGCTACCTTGGGTGTCACCCGGTGCGGAAGTTGGTGGTGTCACCCCATCGAAAGTAAAAAGCAATAAATTTTATATGATAAAGGACATGGATCATTTATTATTTATAATATTGAAGAAATAACAAAAAACAATAATAACTAAGACAGAAAAGGAATTGTTATACAACTAAAATTTCTTCTTTCTAGCTTTTTAGTATCTATCACTATAGAATAATACACGTTCAACAATTCACGCCAACCAAACAAAACACACTTCACGAAACAAATGAGAAATGTTGCAACTGAGACGTCAAAGATAGCGAGTATGGAACAGGGAATCCCCCACGACAGCGTCAAGCTCTTTTGCGGGAATCCCCGAATTACATAGAGCTTATTACATAGAGCTGAGCTAGTGCTAGAGGAGGAATACCCGAAAAAGTAATTTTTGTGCTAGCGATTTTTTTTTGTTTGTACATTGTTCTTAAAGTTGAGAGACCGGGTGGGTGTCACCCCAAAAAAGGTGACACCCGGTGCGGCCCGCCGCCGCCACCCCCCCTTTGCTACGCCACTGCTACTATTTTTTATTTATTAGGTTTATTGAGGAAAGCTATAGGCTTTATATCATCATGCTACTGTCCTAGAGAGCGTAGCAGGAATCATAAATGTCAACAAATCGGGCAGACTTCCATACATTATTGTAAAGGGAAGGCAAAGAAGAGCTTGTTTTTTTAAATTTGAATGCGGGCGAAGTCACGGGTTGTGCTAGTTAATTAAAAATATATTTATTGACTAGAGCCATATTATTCTAGAGCCCATTACCATCTTCACGCACTTCGTCTGTAACCGGACCACCAACATCCAGAAGATCAAGTCATCATGTTATTTTAGAGCCAGTTCAGGTATAAATTATTAAGATCAGATTTGTATACAATTTATATTAAAGATAAAGTGTATCAATGAGATTTCATTACAATAATTATTATTACTATCAGTTTTTTATAACTTAACAGAGAAAATATTAAAAAAAATTTGTACTAGTATAGATACTAATTTATGGGGAACCAAAAATCAAAACAAATCTGCAAAAAAAAAGAAAATAGTTTTATATTAATTTGTTTTTGTAAAATTTCTATTAAAGTCATATTAAGTAATGATCTATCAATTTCATATTATTCAAATTTAAATTTCAGGAAATTCTTCGAGCGACCTTGGTTCGCCGTAAATCAGACGGCTCACTTATGCAACCCCGTGTTGGTAATTCTCAAAGACACATTAAAATATATGTATCAAATGACACTTCTGATAAACAATGAAATACTATGTTTTTGCTCATTTGATTAATAAATAATAAAAAATGGTTTTTTGATTTTTATTTTCACAACTCAGTTGTTAGAACTTGTGAATAATTTAATATTTATTTTTAATAGCAACATTGGTTTTTTTCGCTCATGTGTAACCATCCTTTTGCGTAGCATCTGTCAGTCGACTTTTGTTTGTCAAGGAATGAAAACATAAGTTTTTTGTCTATGTAATCTGTGAGACGGTCAGTCAGCCATGTTTAGTGTTTGAAATGGTGGTGCCTTTATATTTTTCGTGATAAAAATAATAAAATTGTGTAAGATTGTCGTTATTATATTGCAAAACAAAGTGGTAGTGGGTTTTCAATGTTTTTTGTGAAAAGTGAGTGATAACCTGCCGTGACAATGAACTGGGGTACTGAGCTTTGGGTAAGTCCGTCAGTTTATATGTATTAGTCAGTTTGCAAGTTTTGTAATTTGTAATAATCATTCCAACGGACAACGGTCATATCGTAAAAACTGGTATACCAAACGTTCTCCATACGTTCAATGAAACCACTAAATCTCTATGCTAGTATATAAAGAATAGAAAGTTGATTTACTTTAGTGTATGTATATAAATTACTTCAGTATACATACAGTAAGTAGATTTGGGGGTAAACTTTCATAAATAGTAGATCTTCATAAAATAAATCTTGGATATCGATGCATATTCATTGGGTTATATAAGTATTTTTAAAATCATTAGAATTGAAATGAATTAAATGTGAATTAATTATATTTTCAAAATTAGATAATGATCGCTCATATTTCGAATTTCATTATTATTATCCTGATTCTGTTATGGATGTTTAATAGATTGAAATTTGCTAATGATAGGTTTTGTTTTAGGTACATTAAGGATAATTTATTTCTTAGAATCCCTTCTGAATAAATAAGGTTACTTTTAACTCATATCAATAACTAATGACAACTTTTAGGAAAAAGTGATGAATGTTTTAAAAAAAAGTACTGGAGCGATATTTATTGAGTATTAGAACTTTTAATTATGGGCTTACAATGATAATTTTTATTTAAAAAAGTTTGCCGCAATATACAAATAAATCTTGAAATTGATTACATTATATATATTATATATATATATATATATATATATATATATATATATATACTAGCGACTCACCTTTGCTTCGCTCGGGTTCCTTACGGTCCCTTACGTTTTAACATTTAGTATAGATTTCTCAGAAATGAGATATTTTCCCACATTAAAAAGTATCCTATATGTTGATCTGGATATCCAGCTATGTTCATACCAAATTTCATCAAATTATGTCCAGTGGTTTTCTCGTGATGCTGTAACAGACAGACAGACACAAATTCTAAAAACTATAGATTTGGCCTTTGTATCGATAATAATGAGTCTTTCAATAAGATCAATAAAATTAACTTAGCAAAGATTGTTAACTTATACAATATTTATTGCTAACAAACTAAGAATATCCATTGTTTAACGAAATATTATTTCACTAAAATTCATATTTCTAATTTATTATCTTTTTTGTAAGAGTTTATAAGTATTGATACAAATTACATAAATATGAATAATTTCAAAATAATAAGAAAATTTATATTGTGTAATATGTTTTTGAAAATAATAATCTATAACTAGTGTTCTAAGGATAATCTATTTAAATTAATGAATTGAATTCTAAATAAACTCCTTGAAAGAAAACCCAGAAAAATATATATTAGGAAAGGTTTCTTTTGGAAAGCTACAGAACTAGCAACCAATAATAATAAAGGTATTATGTATATATGTATATATATATATATATATGTATATATATATATATATATATAAAAATATTGACAGACAAAAATAAAGTATACTGCTTTTTACTTACTGTTATGTAAATAGTAGTCTAAACTGCTATAGATAGTTTTGAAAACAGCCAGTAGGTTAATTTAATTATTGCGACGTAATTTCAATCTAATAAGAAGAATTTTTTCCCTAAATATTTAAAACAATTTTTGCAAACATTTTTTTGTGCGAAATTCAACTTTATAAACATGTGTCCCACTAAATTATCTCGAATTCTATTTACATTGTCCTAATTAAAACCACGAGTTTAGAATTTGACTGTTTCAGGTCAATGGCCTGTATACATAGTTGTTATTATGTTTATAAAGACATATAGAATTTGTAATGTTGCGTTCATACTGAATCTAGAGTGTGAGTGGTCAGTTGGCAAGATGCAAGGCCGATTGCTGCGGCCGGTCCGCATTCCGCACTCTACTTACTAGTTGTGAAATGAGCCTATCTGTTACCTATATGCCGTTAAATACAAACATCGTATCATTATATCAATACGAAAAGTATTACGGTATATGTCTATTTTTCCTTTAGAACGCCACTCGAGCATTTGTGCACTTATAGAGATTGAGAATACATTAGCGCTGATCTAATAAAGGACGTGACGTAACGAAACTTCTGATTGACGTTTGTAATCCTAAAAACTCATTAAATATTTCATACACAAAATTATGATAATATTAGGTTTCAAACAATTAAATAAAGGTATAAAATAAAATGTATGCTTGAATTAAGATCTATATTATGAGCAGGTGTCACACAATTGAATTATCTTGTGGCGTCCGTGAACTAGTTTGGTAAGCATTTTGTAACCGCGACCTGGAAACTCGCCATAGTTGGATAGGCACCGTGCTTCGAGATTTCACGTATTAGAAGATAATATTTTGTCTAAAGAACTAAGTATAATATATTAAAAGATTTGTTTATCTTTATGTATGCTTAGTTTAGGCATTTCTTGAATAATGTTTAATGCTTATTGTTTAACCTTTTACTTTTTTTCCTTAACCAACAATATATTTATGACTCAGTAACTAGCTTGCTTCTCAATACAAACTTTCATCCCCATTTTCACCACCTTCAAGGATGATTTCCGGGATTAAAAGTATCCTATGTCCTTCTCAGAGTCTCAAACTATTTTCTTACTAAATTTCATCGAAATTGGTTCAGTAGATCCAAAGATTACCGCCTACAACGTCACAAACTCACAAACTTTATTCTTTATAATATTATAGTATTGATTATCAAAATCATAAAGTACACATATTATAAAAAACACATTTTCAGGTAATCCTACTAATATTATAAATGCGAAGGTTTATAAGAATGTATCGATATATGTTTGATACTTTTCATGCAAAAACTTACAGTAATATAGCTTATACATCACAGTAGTACAGAGGCTATGTAAAGATAAAGAATTCATCTACGCGGGTGCAGCTGCGGGAAAACTAGTCAAGTATAATATTAAATTGTAAAAGGAAACGACTTGAATTTATTATGTTACTAGCAGAACTTGCGGCTTTACTCGCGCTAAAACTACAAAAAAACTAAAAAGGTAGGTTTCATGCAAACTTTCATTTCCTATTTTACCCCCTTACGGGATAAATTTCGATAAATGCTAAACACGTATTTATTTAATTGTATTGAAGAGCGTTAATACCAAGTTTCAAGTAATTTTGATCATAAATAATTTTTTGGGTTGTATTATAACGTGTTTTCCCGTGGGATTGAGAATATTCCGCGGTAAAAAGTAACCTATGTCACTCTCCAGCCCTCCAACTATCTACACAAAAAATCACGCCAATAATCTGTTTCGACGTGAAAGAAGGACAAAGAAACAAACACACTTTCACATTTATAATATTAGTATGGATTAATATTTGCTCCAAGATTACTAATTTACGATATATTCATTAATTTTCTCAATCACACTATCATTGGATGATTATGTATACTTTTAATTATTTAATACACCCGTTTGAGAATTTTGGATACCGTTATTTAGATAACTTTCTCAGTTTAGTTTATAAACGATGATTAAGCGAATTATAAAAAGTTAAGTGCAGGAAATGAATAGTCACGTTTTTATATTATATTATGTAGTATATTCACAGCAGTCTGATAGTAAGAGTTTGTATTTATTGTTAATACTCATGGCTTTTTGTTTTTACTACTTCGTTTACTTTAAAATTTGAAACAACGAGCAGGTAGTTTATAGCAGTAAATTATCATATTGTCTTGTATGTATACTAAAGTTATTATTATTTATTATATAAAGTGCAATGGCTTTGTAGATGTTACAGAAACTACCACACGCGTTTTCTGACATAAATTACTTAGTAGTAGAGTCGTTAAATATTAATAGGTATATATACTATGTATATGTTTCAACACTCAAACCACATGTGCCGAACCAGTATGCCCTAAAAAAGGCTAGGAAAGCTAGATAATTCTATGCGAATTTATAAACCGATTTCGTCCCGATATGGCTTCCTTATTATGTCATGATGTCACCGTCCAAATATTTTAAGAAGGTTGTTTATTGTTTCTTGTTAAAGTAAAACTCACGGGAGGCTCTGTTATTATATGAATGTCGATGTTATTATACACTTAAATAGATATAAAAGGTACATATTTTACAATACTGATATGTTGATATTTGTTTCTTTATCATGAAACAAACAGAAATGCTTCATAATTCTTTGCGGAAAGTGGGTGCGAGTGCTTTTATCTAATTAGGTTATATTCGTAGATTGTATTACCATAAACGTGACCTTTGGTCTAGCACTATAAAACATTTTGATTGCCGCCGCTCCTCTATTTTAGCTTCATAGCACGTGATCATTTTAGAAGCAAGACACTTAACCCACCTAATAAGTTTTAAGAAACAATGTTAATTGAACGTTGTCGCATTATGCTGAATTGAGTTTATCGCAACAAACTTTTTAAGAGTCATACTTATATAAAATTATTTTACCTACATGTTGTACCTATATTTTCTCCAGCTAAAATTTTCTTTCTTGTTGTTTGGCATCCATCCAGAACAAGTTGCCATTATTTGCAATGCAAGCGTGCGCCTCATTTGGCGAGTGGCAGCAGGTCCATTCGTAGACTTCAGCGAGTAACCGGTTTGACCAGAATACGCAGACCCGTATAAAATAAAATGGCGTCGAGTGCTAAATCATACTCGCAATATGAGACATTTATTTCATAACTATAAGGTTGCAAATCAATCTTCGCATTCTATAACTCTTAGCGTTGTACAGCGTCTCGTTGGGCTATTTTTGGCATTTTTGAGTATCCCTAAACGCTTGTTTAACGTACCTTTGCTTTCGTGATCCGCCACCGTCCTACGCCATCCCACGCAGCATGGTCCTCATTATCAGGATTTCTAGAACCTGATCTTCGTTCTTGTAATACGAGATCAAACCAAAATTATGTTTTCGATGCCTTATTTGATCAGTTTTACTACATTATTTTTATGCAATTCTTGAATAGTAACATAGACATGCTAATATTGAATGCATGATCAATCTGAGGGAGATTAACAACTGAA